GGGGTTTGGGGTTTAGGGTTTATAGGGTTTAAGGTTTGGGGTTTGGAGTTGGGGTTTGAGGGTTTGGGGTTTGGGGTTTAGGATTTGGGGTTTGGGGTTTGGGGTTTGGGTTTGACCGAGTTGTGACCGAAAGTTTTTTGGAACCATATATTGAATCTGGCGCTGGCCGGTTGGGATAGGATGGGGGCTGGGTGGGGGTGGGCGGGGGTAAGGGCCGGGCCGGGGGAGGGGCTTGGGACCGGGGTATATATTTGCTCTTTACCCACGATTTGCTCACTTACTTAAGCGCTAACCTCCTCCCTTACTTCCTTACTTCCTTGCTTGCTTGCTTGTTTGCTTACGTACTCACTTTCACGAAGGGGCTTTAGGTTACCAGCTTAGCTTGCTTTGCTGCCTTTTCCAGCTCTTTCAAGCGCTGGAGACGGGCCTTGGCTTGTGCCTTTGCAGCACGAGCCTGGGCTTTCGCCGTTTGTGCCGGCCGGCCCTCTCCTCTTTTGGCGAATGCCCCCGCAGCTGCCGCATTGCGCGACTGTGGCATATTGCTGCGTTCCGGCACAGGGGCGACAGAAGACGAGCCTCCGCTTGCTGGTTCGAGTGCTGCGAGTAGTGTTGATACACGAACCCGCGTGCGGCCAGAAGGTGCCGCAGCAATGCTTCGCGGCTGCAGTACAAGTGCTCGGCCTGTATGGACAGCGGTTCTCACGACCTCTGCTTCGCATATACCATAAGCGCCGTACGACGAATTCCAGCGCACTCGTCACGGAGATGCCGCTGATGAAGTTCTGTTCAAAGAGGCTCTGCATCAGCTGCGCCGTCCACCAACCTCTGCAGCAAGTCACGGGGTAAAGCCTGGTTGCTGCATCTGCTACTATACGCTCGAGAATGTTCCGGGGGGTCGCTTCGATGGCGAGCAGTCTAGACAAGCCAAGGCTTCGTACCGCCAACTTCAAGGCTTGACTGCTGCAGGTTGATGGACGTGCCCGTCTTCCAAAAGACGCTCCTCACCGTCTGTTCGTCTATATACACGGCTTTGGCGTGCAAATGCTGACGAGTTGCTGTCCAGCACATCTGCACGTCTTCACAGAGAACGCAGTCTCGCCGAGGCTGGCCTCACACCGCACATGTCGCCTCGCCAAGACGACTGCTTGTCAGCTTGTCGGATCGACGGCCTGCTTTCCGCCGCTGGCCTGCGCGCACCGCCGCACGCAGCCCCTTCTGCCGTGCAGCGGCATCGAGCCGCGGCGTCCACACCTGCGCCCTTTGTCCACTTCCTCGGTGCCTCCACTTGCTCTCCATGTGAAATCATAACGCGACGTTTCCTGCTCTCATTTGTCCGGTTTGAGTGGGCGGCCTGACATGGCGTCGGTCACTGCGGCTTCGCCGACTCCACCTCTCATCAAACATATGTTCCTGGAGCCGCCCGCCCTTTACCATGTGTTGTGTACTCCGCCTCACACTGGCGGGCTTGTTTCGGCCTCCCACGCGCAGACCAACGATGTGCTTCTCATGCCTTCTGCTGCTCCGGCGGTCGTGCCTCGAGGTCTGCGTTCTGACCTGATTGTGTCGCTCAATGGCTTGCTAACGTCTTGCCTGAGAGCCACACAAGCAGCGTTGCTCTCAGCCTCCGAAATCCGAAAGGCTTCGGCCACTTTGCCTGCTTCCGCTTCGGCTTCAGCTTGTGACGCCTGGCCAATCACGAGCAAGCAATTGGTATTTGTCGGTTTGCTGACTCAGGCCTCCGGAGCCGCAGACACCTGCCCAATGCACAACTTCAGTTCTCTCGTGCACGCTCCCGCGTGCCTGCGGGCTGTCCCCGTTGGTCTCGTTCTGACGAGAGCCGCACCGACCGCTTGGGTGTCAGCCTTAGGGAGATCTGCTGGTGCATCTGCTTATATACCATGATCCGACTGAGGCAACAGCAGAGTCTGAAGCGCGTGGTACCTGGCATGTGGCGAGACGAAATGCTCTTGTCTTAGTGCTGGTGAACAGCGCCTCCACCGCGGCAGGTGCCTGCGCACTGCACGACTACAATTTCCGTAGGTGCCCGTGTTGCATCTGCCTTCGGCGGCTCGAGAGGAGCTGGTCCTCGCAAGGATGCTTTGCAGAAGTATAATTTCTCGCGCCACGTGGTCCTGTAGCACCCGCTAGAGCTGTCGCCGGCGGCCCCAATTTTCCCGTAAGTTCGTGTACTCATGCTGTCTTCGATCTGAGTTCCTGGCGTGTTCTCCAGCAGTTGCTGCTGCAGGTTGGCATTCAATACCAGAGTGCAAGAAAATCAACAAGGGTCATTCTGCCGTCTTGTTCACGGTAGCTCAAACGAGCCTTTAGCCGGTACCTTGCCATCGCACGCAACCAGTCAAGCCACTTTCTTTGTTAGTCGCATGCTACCTCAAACGGGTCCCTCGCCGCTACCTTGCCATGCCAGACAACCACCAAAGGTAAGGAGGCCTCGTGACTTGGGACCCCGAGTGTGGGTTTACCCCGAACTGAGCGTAGGATTTAAGATTTTGATAGGAACTTTCAAGCACAATGTTGGGACTTCGGCACGCCGCCGTCGTAAGCGGTCTTACGAGTCTACCCCCGTTATCTGGAACTAGGATCTCCAATTTGGACATGATATACTAGACAAGAATATCGGTGTCCCCGCTTCATGGACGTCATATATATGAGCATATCAAGACAGGCAGCAACAGATGTCAGCGAGAATGTCTAGATCGTGCACTTCCCCGCCCACCCCTGCCCCGCCTTTTTTGGGAATCCGCACACATAAACACATTTTTTGAGTGTTAAAATACACACGCAATCGAGTATATCGTGATTTGACGATTCGTTGCTGGAGCTGAATGTCGACGGCTCTTCCTTTTTACTCTCCCACCCCACGCCGTCTGAGGCGGCCAAACCACCCAAACCTATTCCTTGTAGGGTTTAGCTCTAAACTCATTCTATGGCTTTCTTCTTTCTTTCAAATTCGTTCATGCAGCAAGAGCAGGACAAGGTAAGGGCAGGGCAGGGGGGCAGGGCAGGGGAGGGCAGTCAGGGGCAGCAGGGCAGGGCCGCGCAAGAAAGGGCAGGGCAGGGCAGGGCAGGGCAGGGCAGGGGCAGGGAGTTTAGGGTTTGGGGTTTGGGGTTTAGGGTTTGGGGTTTAGGGTGTGCCAGGCGAGGTCGCGCGCTCGGGTGTGAAGCACCCCGGACCGCGCGCTCGCGTTGCTCGTAAACCCACCCCGGCCACCCGAACTATACTCTATTAGGGTTTAAGGTTTTTTAGCTTATTTTCTTCTGCGTTTTTTCTATTCGTGGGAGATATTAGAATTTCTCATGTTTCTTGCTTCTACGCCCGTCGGAAATTATCCATTATTCAAACAGGTTCAGGTTTGGGTGCGGCTGCGGCTGGGAGTAGCCTCGGCCCTTGTCGGCCTCGGCATGGCAGGGCCTGTCCGGCCCGTCCCAAGTTATAGCACAGAGTCGGATATTGTGACGGTATTAAATTCTTGTTGTTAAAAGTGTGCTTTAAACTAGGCTTGTGGCGCATCTTGGGGGGCTATCACATTGGAATTGGAGGGCCGTCCTAACTCGTAAAGCTCCCAATCCTTGTCTGCGTTTGGACCGTCCCACGTCAGGGTTGGGGGGCAGCTGGGGACCGTCCCAAGTCGCAGTTGCGGGGACCGTGCAAGTCGCAGTTGCGGGGCTGTCTCAAATCGTGAAGACAAGGTTCGGGTTTGGCTGAGGTTGAGGCTAGAAGTAGCGTCGGCCCTTTCCGGGCCTGCTGCATGGCAGCCTGTTCAGCAAAAATGCCGAAAAACGAATTTTTCAACTCTCATGACATCTGCTTGCTGGAGGCTTGACGCCCAGACCGAACTGGACCCCCTCGCCAAGGCCCAGGTCTGGGGCGGGGGCAGCCAAAGAAAGAAACCAATTTGGCCCTGAGCCTTCGTGCCGTCGTGGAGTTCCTGCCTTTCTTGCATACCAGCCCCTCGGCCCCTGGGCCCTGGGTTTCTGAGAAGGCCGGGCGCAGGCAGACCCTAAACCACGCAAACGACGCCCAGAGCAAATGTCTCACGATTTGGGGTTATACGTTAAAGTATAACCCCAAATCGTGAGGCATTTGCTCTGGGCGTCGTTTGCGTGGTTTAGGGTCTGCCAGCGCCCGGCCTACTCAGAAAAAGGTAGTCTGGGTACGGCCATCCCTCTTCCGAGGACGGACGTTGTCGTAAGCAAGGCCAATATCCGTTGGCCTGTCCAGGACAGGTGGTGAGGCTTTACCCTCACCTTTCCGTCTCTCTTTTCGCATGGGTGCTC